ATATATCGCAAAACGTCTTTCTTTATTAACTAAAATGCAAAGAGAATATTTCTTGATTACCTATTATTGGCCAGACATTAGGAGCTTTACATAGACAATATCATTTAAACCTCACAATAATACCAGTTAGGAAAGTCTTACTACGCCTGATTTATTTATGAGGAAACTGACTGAAGCACAGAGAGCATATAGATTGTTTTATATGTCACATTACCTGGTATAGTTTTTGTTGTTGTTGTTAAGTGCCATTGAGTCGGTTTCGACCCATAGCGACCCTGTACAGGGTTTCCGAGGGTGTAAATCTTTACGGGAGTAGAAAGCCTCATCTTTCTCCCGCGGAGCGGGTGGTAGTTTCGAACCGCTGACCTTAAGGTTCGCAGCCCGATTCGTAACCACTATGCTACCAGAGCTCCTTAGTAGCTTGCACCAAATAAATGCTCAATGTATTTTAACTAGTAAATTATATTAATTTGTTCAAATGAAATATATATTTCAGATCCATACAAGTTCAAGATTTTGAATAAGTAAAACCCATAAGCATGTATTAATTATTAAAATATTCAACATATACTGCATGTAAGATGTGTTCCCTGCTTTGAGCCTTGTAATCTAGGAGAGTTCTTAAACATAAGCAGAAGTAACCGTAATGCAGAATGTCCATGCTGTTAGCTAGGTGCTAATTCTAAGACGTCATACAAATCAAACAGATTTAAGGGAGAAGGCTTGTCAAGTAAGTATACAAATTCCTGATAATAATATTGTAAAATCACTTCACTCTTCTCAACTTTAGGAAATTAAGTTTATTAGTATTTCCAAGAGAGCACTGAAAACAGTAATGTTAGTACAGTATGAGAAAGTAGAAAATTCTGATTGTGCAACTTTGTATATTTGAACCATAGTATAGATACTCTTTTCAAGCAGTCATATTTCATTATGTTGCAGATAAATCCAAAGCAGATACCAAAGTTGCCGTGGTGGCCAAAAAAAAGGTAAGATAATGTTTGATCATATAAAATACACATACTTAAGATTCCATTTGATTAGCAGCATTTTTAAAAGAAAATTAAGTTAACATTTAAAAACAAAATGACATATGCTGTATTTTTATACAAATAATACATGCCTATGTTTGCCTTCGTAAGCACTGTTGTGTCAATCTTTTTTTTTTTTACATGTTGGTGTAAAAACAAATAGCATAGCACATTTAAAGAGTTATCTCCACTGGTTGGAAGGGAATAATCAGCAAACTGCAGGCATGTTTTATATATACCAACTTTATATAAAAGAACAGTAATCAAGTTTCTTCTACTAAATAGCCTTTTAGATATTATTAGTTGAGCATTTGCATCCTTTCTTAGGTTAACACTAGAAATTAATACTTATGGATATTTATATGGATGGTGGTGGTAGTGTACCATGGAATCGGTTCTGACTCATAGCGACCACATTTAGAGGTTTCTGAGGCCATAAATCTTTATGGGAGCAGAAAGTCTCATCTTTCTCCTGCAGAATGGCTGGTAGTTTTGAACTACTGACCTTGAGGTTAGCAGCCCGACTTGTAACCACTACCGCTACCAGAGCTCCTTATTTATATGTATGGTGATAGTGAGTCCTGATGTGGTGCTGTGGGTTAATGAGCTGGACTGCAAAATCAGTTTGAACCTCAAGGTCAGTGGTTAAAGTTTACCAGCCACTGCTAAGAAATCCTATACAGGGACGCTATGAGTCGGAAGCAATTCTACAGCACTTAACAGCAACAATGATAGATTTATCAGTAATAAGAACAAGAGAAAATTATGCTAAGAAGTAAACAATTGCTTTTATTTAAACTACATTTCCTATTGTTGTTGTTAGTTGTCATTGAGTTAATTCTGATTCATGACAATCCCTTGTGTGCAGACTGAAACTGTTTCATAGGGTTTTCAAGGTTGTGACCTTTTGGAAGTAGATCACAAATCTGTCTTCCAAGGTGTTTTTGGGTGGGATAGAAGTGCCAACCTTTTTGGCTAGGAGTTTTGCTACCCAGGAACTCATAGTTTACTCACATATACTGTCATATAAAGATTTTTTTAAATTTTCTTATATGCTGTATTATAGTAATATATCCACACAATTTCATGGATAAGGTAAACAACTAAAATTTACAATTTAATATGTACTTTACCTTAAACATATGTAGAAAGCAACATCAGCCATTTGAAATAGTTTTTTAACCTAGACTCTTACTTTTTTAATGAAAAGAATTTTTAAACTTTAACTTATCATTCTATATATTGCATGTAGAGTGACTTGTAACTCGACCTACTGTCAAAACTGTAACAGTGATAGGATGAACCTTGGCATTCTTCTTAAGTTACAATGTTCTAACAGGACAATAATGGAAACGAAAAAGAGTTGATGCTTAAAACAAATCCTTTTGGACATTTAATACATTGATGTCTTAAGAAACAGAACTGTGATTGAAAGGAAAGCTAATATTGGGAACTTTCTGTGTTTGTTGGTAGAGGTAGGACAGGATGGACCAGGAAGGTTTAGTGTCACAAATGGAAACAGGAAAGGATGTTGGGCATGGATTGATAGATGAATGAGTGAAATATTTTTTGTATTCTGAATATGTATGTATTTATAAATCCACTTGAAATAAGATTTTGTTTTATCCTTTGACTTTTGTATTTGTAAAAGGAATCTGGACATTTCTAATGGCTAAATAGAATGCTCTTTTGCTGAAAGGAATTCAATATTGTACCTTTTGCTCTTTTATTTGTAAAGGAATCCGGACTTTTCTCTGGCTAAATAATGTTGATATTCCTTTGCTGGAGGAATTCAGTATCATAGAAGACAAGATTGCCCTTTATAAAAGAAAGGAAATATTACTTGTTTAGGTCTGAAAATTTGGACAAGAATATGTGAGGTAGTTCAGGATTATTTCAGTCTCTGTTCAAGGGTATTTAGAATAAAAAATGATCAAGATATTAACTAACATTTCAATATATTTTTAATTATTACGAGTAGTTCTCAACTAGGGCGTTGCCCTCTCATTCATAGGGTGATCTATGAACAAGAGCTGGCTGATGTGTCCTGTAAGTGTGGAAATTGAGAATAAGCATTTAGAAACTTATATGGTAATTAGACAGAAAACTTTTTTGCAGTGAATCTAATCACAGTAAAATTAAGCTAATATTTTATGTCTTTGTTTTTTATTTTACTACATATTTCTAGTTAGTATCTTTTATTTTGCAAAAGTAAAGCTCTGCAACAGATTAGGGATGAGGAAATAGTCCTTCACCTCCAATAGTTTGAAACGTAGGGACTACAGGGCATTTTATTGGGAAAGGATTGGGATACCTTCCCAATAGATGGTGCAGACTATAACAAGGAACCATCCACAGTCAGCATGATTTTTAAATGTTCTTGGCAGTTTAAAAAACTCTGCAAATATAATTGTATTGTTAGGTGCCATCAAGTCAGTACCAACTCATAGCGAACTTATTCACAACAGAATGAAACACTGCCCGGTCCTGGGCCAACCTCACAATTATTGCCATGCTTGAACCCGTTGATGCTGCCACTTTGCCAATGCATCTCACTGGAGGCCTGCCTCTCTTTCTCTGACCCTCCACCTTACCAAACATGATATCCTTCTCAAGCAAGTGGTTCCTCCTGACAATATGTCTGAAGTATGAGAGATGAAGTTTGGCCACCCTGGCCTCCAAGGAGCACTATGGCTGCACTTCTTCTAACACAGATCTGTTGGTTCTTTTGGCAGCCCATGACACTTTCAATATTCTCTTCCACCACCATAACTCAAAAGCATTAATTCTTCTGCGGTCTTCCTAATTCATTGTCCAGCTTTCGCATGCATATGAGGCTATTGAAAATACCATGGTTTGGGTCAGGCACACCTTAGTCCTCAAGCTGACATCTTTGCTCTTCAACACTTTAAAAAGATCTTGTGCAGCAGATTTACCTAATGTGCTACGTCATTTGATTTCTTGACTGCTGTTTCCATGAGTGTTGATCCAAGAAGAATGAAGTTCTTGACAACTTCAATCTTTTCTCCATTGATAAGAATGTTGTTTATTGGTCCAGTGGTGAGGATTTTTGTTTTCTTTACATTGAGATGCAATCCATACCGAAGGCTGTGGTCTTTGATGTTCATCACTAAGTATTTTAAGTCCTCGTCACTTTTAACAAACAAGGTTGTATCATCTGCATATCACAGGTTGTTAATGAGCCATACACCAATCCTGATGCCACGTTTTTCTTCATATAACCCAGCTTCTCAAATGGTTTGCTCAGCATACAGGTTGAATAAGTATGGTGAAAGAATGCAACTTTGTCACACACCTTTCTTAATTTTAAACCGTTTAGTGTTCCCATGTTCTGTTCAAACAACTGCCTCTTGGCCCAGGTACAGAGTCCTCATGAGTACAATTAAGTGTTCCAGAATACTAATACTTTGCAATGTTGTCCATCGCTTGTCATGATCCACACAATCGAAAGCCTTTGTGTAGTCAATAAAGCACATATAAACATCTTTTTGGTATTCTCTGCTTTCAGCCAAGATCCATTGGACATCAACAATGATATCTCTCATTCCATGTCCTTTTTCTGAATCTGGCTTTAACCTCTGGAAGTTCTCTGTCAATATGTGCTTACACCAATTTCTGTATTACCTTTAGTAAAACTTTATTCACATGCGATATTGTCTGATCATTTCCACATTCTGTTGGGTTACCTATCTTTGAAATGGGCATAGAAGCATAGTTATTGACAAACAATGAAACATATTTACAAATATATTAACAGGGAGGTTTGGGATGTCTGTAACACTCTTAAACCCAAATGTTAGTAAAATAAAAGATGTATGAAATACTTTAAATTCACTGAAATTTTCTAAAGCAATATTTCAGAGTTTTGCTATTATCTGTGTAAATATTTTAACTTAATAATTAGAAATCTGTTTTTAAGGTGCATATTGAAATTCTTTTTTGATAGCCTTTTGTCCTTTACTGTTACTAAGATTGTCCCCAGAAGTTTACCTTAAAATTCTTTGTTGTAGCCCATATTATTACTTTTTTTACTACTTTATCATCTAGATATTCTTCCTAACCTATTGAATGCTATGGTGAAGATCTTTTAAAATACCAGAGACTGCAAGTAGAGATATGTTTTCTGTAATGTGATGTTAATCCCCTTTTACAACACAGGAAATTATTGTGCCACATCACTTGGGAGAACATGCTTCTGATTTTTTATGCTCTGTCTTTAATTTATTTTAGAATACTATCCCTATTCCAATTTAGATTATTAGTTTCTTTTCTTTTTTACTATGTAATAAGTCTGATCTGTTTTTACTTAACATAACTGTGGTTTCTTTTGTGTCTACCAATACTTCTGCTCTTTGATTTCCTGTAGATCCTGTACCATTGACTTTAAGCATGTTGTTTCAGTTAAAATCTAGAACCTATTTTCTTGATTATGTCTTGAAATTAGTTGCTTCCAAGCATATACATATAGAACTATATTTCCATTTTTTTCTTTTTATATTATAGTTATAACTTGTTAAAATTATGGATACAGTCAGATGTATTAAAGTACATGCTATAGTGCTATAATAAAGAGATTCAAATTGCTGTACATCACACAAAATAGAAATTTAACTCTTTATCATACAGAACTCTTATGTTGAAAGGTAGGCTGTAGGTCTAGGGAAAGAGGAAGCCTTGCCTCATAAGATTATCCAAACTCACAAGTTCCCTCTTTGTTGTTTGCCCAACTCCTAGGATGTAATTATCATCTATATGGTCAGAAGTTTATTGCATATATGGCCCATAGAAGTAAAGTGGAAGATGAATGCAAACCATTAGCTGAAGGAAACTGAAAAACAAAACATGTACTTGATACTGCACATATTTTCTCTCATATCCCACTGTCCAGAATTCAATACCATGGCTCCATTCGGTAACAAAGTGAAGCTTCTGGCTGG